CCACCGGCAGGGAGTGCCTCTGCGCTACGGACTGCAAGAACTATGCCTACGTATGTAAACACCCTTAACATAAGTCGTAAGGGCCCTTGAATAGGACGCGCCCCCGACTTCACGTTGGGGGTGGTGGCGGCGGTGGTGGTGTTGTTGAGGTGGGCGCTGCAGTATCCTCTATGTTTGGGCAAGAAGCAAGCAGGCCAAGTGGAGCACATAGGCCCTAAGTACTGTGCCTCCTAACACCCTCTGCAACCCTGAAACCCAGACTGCTACGAAACCCCAAAACCCTGCACCCTAAACCCTAAACCCTAGTCTCGAAGACTTCTCTTAGCTGCTGAGTTCAGAAGCACAAAAAGTCTACAACTTCAGTTCTATAAGAGATCCTATTATCCCAAACAGTTTAAAGTGTCGTCAATCAGCTACCCTAAACCCTAAACAGGCCCTAAACCCTGAACAGTAAGTTCTCGAAGGCTCCAGAAATGGCTCATGCAAGGAGCATTTCGGCTTTCAGCTCGGAAGCCGCAGCGATGAACTTGCCTCTTGCCTCTCGAACCGAGGGGACATCGGGTTTAAGGGTTGAGGGTGGAGGGTTTAGGGTTTAGGGGTTTAGGGGTTTAAGGGTTTAGGGGTTTAGGGGTTTAGGGGGTTTAGGGTTTAGGGTTTAGGGGGTTTCAGGGGTTTAGGGTTTAGGGTTTAGGGCTTGGATTTTACTTTATCCAGGGCTGAGGGCGGTGTAGCTTTGCAAAGTTCAGGTGCAGGGTTTTCTTTAATTGGAAGCCTTCTCCACGTGTAACGGGCTGGATGAGCCTAGAAACCTGAACCGTACATCTTATACACTTGAGCCGCAACCCTTAAATGCAGCATTCTACCCAAGACCCCGCCGAAACCTGAACTCCAACAAATAAACTCTCCCTTCAGGGCAAGGAGGGTGGTGACCAAGATCTCTCATGGACAGGTTTGGACGCTCCAACGCGCAATCCTCAGATCCCCAAATCCTTCAACCAAGAAGACCACCAGTTCGGGCTGCCCGGGCCTCCGCATAAGACTCCGAGAAGCACAAGCCCACATCAGCGGATGTCATCGCGGCAACGGGCGAAGCAAAACAGATCCGACGGCTTCTCCCTAAACCCTAAACCCTAAACCCTAATGGTTTTACACTTACGGCCCCAGGGCGTAGGAATTGGAAGCTTTGGGGTCGTCTTGGGAAAGTTTAGGGCTTAAGCTCTTATTCCCATGAGTTTAGGGTTTAGGGTTCACAATCCCTGCGTGATCCGTAAAGGAAGAACTCCATATGCTGTAAAGTACTTGGAGGAATACAAAACCTGTGTCCAGCACGTCTACATTTAGTCGCATAAAAGTTGTTTACAGCTAGTGGCATTAACAAAAAGCAAAGCTGTTGTCGCTGTCCCAGAAGGCCCAACATTCCTCAATGAAGACATGCCTTTGAGTGCGAATCGGCAGTCTGATGCAGCTCCAGAGCATGTTACTGCAGTGGCACTGGTCTAAACAATGAGAAGAGTGCTTGGCGTGTCTCATACTATATTGATATAAGAAATTATAAGAATCAAAAAAGGAGCATGATCGGTATGATAATTAGTTTCTGCAGGCGGCAAAATTTTCAGAACAGGACTTGGCTTGGGAGTTAGGAGGCTTGAGACGTCCGGGCTTATTTAGCACCTCGGGTACAAGGCAACCAAGAAGAAAAGGCCCTACGCGCTCTCCCCGACCCGAAACCTTGCAGAACAGAAAAGGGTAAGAGTGCTGTCTTTCTGCTGTCGCTGCGAGCGGAGCGTTGCTTTTGTTGGCTGTCACTGCTGGGCCGCGTTTTGTGTTTTGCTGTCGTCCCCGGAGGGCGCGTTCTTTTCTTTGCTGTCGTTGCGCTGGCGCATTTTTATTTGGCTGTCGTCCCCGGTGCGCTTTTTTTGGCAGTCGTCCCCGCGACACGCCTTATTTTGCTGTCGTTGCGGAGGCACGTTCTTTTTGTTGCTGTCCGGGGTTCAGTCACTCACTGCATGGCTTCCTGGGTTCACCCAAAGACAGCCAAAGGCAACTACAGCAAACCAGGCACGGGTTCCCACCGAAAAGGCTTGAGACCGGCCCCAAATATAAACAAGCAACACAAGCAGTATCCCGAGAAAAGAAGAGTAGCAACGAGTAGAACCTCTACAAGTTGCACCAACAATGAACCAGCAACCCTGGACCCTAAATCAAACATACACTTACAACCCTTAACCCTGAACCCTGAACCCTAAACGTCCCCTGACACAACCCTTGTCGTTTCCCTCATAGAAGCCTTCTGGAGAGCCCTTCAGAAAAAATCTCAACCCTGGAGGTTCCAGAACACCCGACAAACACAGTTTAGAGT